TCCTGAAGAGAGGGACCATGTGTCAGGGACCACAGCACAGAGTAAGTGTCCAGTGCATGGCAGCCAGCCAGCTTAAGAGTACAACTGCTCCCTAATTTCAGAGCACATTTAATCATTCAATAAACGTTAGCTGAATACATGAACAATACATTCAATAACTTCCTTGAAATAGCTGGAATGCCCCTGCGTGGAACATGTATCAGTAGTAAAAACAAATGCATTTCCTGATAGCTGGCACAGAATTCCTCTTATGTAGGGAACTCGATCTGTTTAGACGAAAGACCATTTTACAGATGGAAAGACTGAGGCTCAACGAGGCTCAGTCAACATTGCCCAGAATCACACAGCTGGAACTAGAGGAGCTTGGTTTGGAACGCAGAGCTGTGACCCCGGAGCCCAAGCTCTGGCTCTCTACGCTGCACTGCCATCGCCCTGTGACTCTGGGACATTCCTCCACCGCCTCTGAAGAGTTCCAGGATGTGATTTCCTGTCATCTTCTTCAACCCAACCCCACCAACCTTTTCAGATACTTCATCATTCATACTGATGACACCTCCAACCCAGTGGCCTTGAGTCCGCATCCTTCCATGACCCCCATCTCTCCTTGTGTCAGTCACTCAGTAGACGGTGACATTTTAGAACGGGCCATCGCTGAAAGCTATCACATTCCGATTTCCCAATTTCCCGATCTGATCTACTTCCTCTCGCCCTCCGTCTTCCCCACCCACTCCTATTTATATCCCTTGCCTCACAGGAGGCTATAGTTTGGGAAGGTTACTGGTCTCCCTAGAACGGGCAGCAGCAAACTATATAGCCTGTGGGCCAATTCTGTCTTTATGAATAGTTTTACTGGAATACAGCCGTGCTTATTTGTTCACGCACGTACTGTCTATGGCTGTTTCATGCCATGACGGTGGAGTTCAGTAATTGCAACAGGCTATCTGTGGCCTGCAAAGCCGAAAAGACTCACCGTCTTCTACAGCAAGTTTCCTGACCCGCCCTCGAAAGCCATTTCCTGTTCCTCCTGGAACTCTTAGCATTACTGGAGCCCTGTTCTCAGGGCCAGCCCAGGGCTCAGACCGCATTAGCCCCATTGTTATGGGAGAGCGGGGTTTGCCTTGGAACTGGCTGCTGAGGGCGAATGGGACTGATGCAAGCAAGCTGGCTGGTGAATTGTGTGCACTGTCAGGTCTCAGGAGGGGTGACCGAGGCCTCCCGGCACCCCGAGGCTCCTCCCTTGGGCCCACACCTGCCACTCTTCCCTGGTCCCAGGGCCAGTTTTCCTTCCATGACGTCTGAGCTTCTCAGCATGAGCACATGGAAACTTGGCCTCCCCCACTGTCTGTCACTCACTCCAGCCTCACCCTCCGGGTTCACTGCCAGTCAACAGATACTTCCTTGCCCAAGGCACACCCACCATTCAATTGGTGCTCATGGGGAGCTTTGAAAGCTTTCATTCTTTCTTTTCCTTTTAATTTTTTATTATGGAAAATTTCACAGATATAAAAAGGTAGGCTGGAAAAAAAAATGAACCGTGTCACCATCAGCCAGCTTGAATTATCCTGTTCCCCATGTCACTCAGTGTAACTTCCCCCAGCCCTGTCCAGGCATCACATCATTTCATATTTCATTCATAAATATTTCAGCATGCTTCTCTAAACAGTAATACCTTTTATATCATGACTACAAATTATCATATTTTAAATAAAATAGTAATTCTTTATATCATCAACTGCTTACTAAGTGCTCAAATTTCCAATTGCCTCCTCATTTTTCTGTTGAGCTGGGTTCTTTGAATCAGGATCTGAATAAGATTCACACATGGAAATTTCAAAGATCACAGGGACCCTACCGTCCCCATTTTAGTGTTTCTGAGTTTGGTGTGTTCTTACTTCCAATGTGAACACATTAATGTAGTATTTCCTTCTCTTCCTGAAAATTGGCTGTCAAATGGTTAACATAACTCGGAAAATACGGTAATTTATGAGAAAAATGTTAAGATGCTATTCTTAGAAAAGTTAACAATGCTTTCCCTTGTACTTAAACTTCCCCAGACTAGACTTCGCTGCATTAGCTTTGCTGGTCTTCAACCCAGATTTACCCAGCCGTCTGTGGTCTCCACCCCCTTTCCAGGATTGCTGAAGATAAGCACACAAACAGACTGTTTCCATGCACCACAACAAGTTCAGGCCATCAGCTGGGCTGCCCCTATTTATCAGGTGGGTTTCACCATGGCAGCTGCCGCAGCCCCCCCCCCCCCCATAGCCTCCAGGACCCTCCTGCACCTCCCTCTCGGCAGATGTCTTCACACCTACACAGGGATCACGACATACTTGCTATGCACTTTCTCAGCTTTCCCCTCTTCCAGCTCAAACTTCCTCTCACGTCTAAGCTCTACTCTCAGAGGAGTAAATATACACCACCCTTGCTATGTGTGCAAACGTTCAGGGAAGTCTCTGGAAAGAAGCTCGCTAAAATGTCAACAAGGGCTGGACCTGGGGGCCGGCGCTGCGGGGACCTGTGCCTTCTTACTTATCTGTTTGCTCTCACTTTCTTCACAGCACGCATCATTTTTACAAAACCCATAATACCGTTTCACAATGTAAGTCTTCCCCACGACAATGTAGGTGATCCTGGGAGGGAAGGGCTTCAGTTTCCCAGTATTCTCTGTTACCCTTTGCGGTAGGCAGGAGGAGGGAACCCAGACATGTCACATCATAATTCCTGCAACCTGTGAACATGTTACCCTATGTGGCAAAAGGGACTTGGCGGGTGTGATTACATTAAGGATCTTGAGAGGTTATTCTGAATTATCTGGGAAGGCCACGGTCATCCCGTGGGACCTTAACAGTGGGAGACGGGGGCAAAAGAGAGACAGAGAGCTGACGGAGAAAGGGGCCACCGCCGAGGAACACAGAGGCCGCTGGAGGCTGGAAAGGCCCGGAAACGGATCTTCCCTTAGAGCCTTCGGAAAGGAACACAGCCCTGCCAGCACCTCGATTTCAGCCCCGTGAGACCCACGTCAGGCTTCTGGCCTCCTGACTTAAGATAACAAGTTTGCACTGTTGAAAGCCAGCAAGTGTGTGGTAATTTGTTACAGCAGCGACAGAAAACTAATACAGCCCTGCTCCCTCCCCACCGGTCATTTCAAACAGACATAGAAGTTAAGTGGAAACAATCGGCTGCTTTGTAAACACAGCTGCACGACAAGCCCCGGTCCCCACGGCCAACCACAAGCCCCGGTCCCCACGGCCAACCACGTGCCTCAGAGTAAGTGCCTCCTTCGGGGAACCCTCCTTCACGGAACCCTCCTTCGCGGCCACCTCCGGGTGTGCCAGGGAGCCCTGCCCATCTCGGCTCTATCTGTACATAGGACAAGGGGACCAGCGTTTCTCTCCAGACCCCACTTCTGAGCTTCAGGCCCATACCTCCAATATGAATATCCCAGAGGCACCTCAGTCTCCATGTTACCCTTAAACATGCTTTTCTAGCTGGTCTTGCTTCTTTCACGCCCCCCCCCCATCTACCCAGGAGCAAATCTTACCTTTTTCAGGCACACCCCTTCTCCACCCCCGAACTCATCCTGTGTCAACCATCCATTCTCCCCATCCTGTGTCCCTCCTTTTTCATTCCTGTTGTCCTATCTGAAGACCTTAGGGCTGTAACCACAGCCTCGAAAATGGCAGCCTGAGCAACTCCAGGCTGTCCTTCAGCTCGCGTATCCCCTGCACGCTCAGGGGCAATCTTGACCGAACAGTCTGCTCAGGGGCATGCGGTGAGTGAAGGCCAGAGATGCCGAGCAACGCCCGACAACAGAGCATCACCCGGGGAGGAAGGTCAGTGGTGCCCAGGCTGGAAAAACCTGGATCAGCTGCTGACTCCTGGCTCCGCCCTCATTCTCCTTAAGAACGTTCGTTCCTACTTGCGTCTCTGACTTCCTGTTCAAGGGGACACTCGAGAAGGATGTGGCACCTGCGTTCTTGCCTCTCAAGATAAAATCTGGGCACCAACCAGCTTGGCCGCGGCCCCATCTGGACTGGCCCCAGGCCGGCCAGGGGGGCCTGTGCGTGGTTGTGCATCCATTGCCCTTTAGTGCTTTGCTGACATATGAATTACACCCCAAGGGCTGGAGCCATATTTATTCATCTCTTTTTTCTCCACAGCACCAAGCTCTGCGCATTGCACTTGGTAGATGTTCAACAAATATTTATCGCAGTGGCTTAGACTAGTATCCTTTTAATTTTTACCGTGCCAAGAAGGGTGATACAAGCCTCAATAAATGTCAGTTGCCATCATCATATCATTGACACGTCACTGATAAAAAACAACTCACATAAAATACTACTCCTAATTTTATATAATTCCATTTTATATGGTGAAATCACGAATTTTTTTTTTTTTTCCTACGCTGTCACCAGCGACTCACAGCAGCCCAGCTCCAGGTTGAGCTGTTGTTCAGCATCTTAGCTGTGGAGGGCAGTGTCACCGGCCCTCATATGTGGGATCTGAACCGGGGCCCTCTGGCGTCCCAAGCCAGCTCCCAACCATTGCGCCACTCAGCCGGCCCAAAATCACGAATTTTAAGAGCTATGGAAAGACCAAACTGATTCCTTCTGTGAGAAGATTCAGATTAATTTTATCTGCCCTGTTCGAATATGTTAAATGCAGAACTGATGCACATAACTAAAAATTACTATTTAGAAAACGTTAGTCGTATTTCCTGAGACATGATGACCTTCAGGGTTGGGGGAAGGGAGAGGGCGAGAGAATGGAGATGAGCTACTCAGGATAAGAACTGTTTCAAGTTTTCTATTTTATTTCTGACGTGTTTCTTGAACACTCCCTGTGTGGGTAGATGCTCTTGACCTAGGCTGGGAATCACCAGAGACAAGAGCCACACAGGTAACTGCCCTGGGGCCCTGGGTGTTAGTTCTCTTCGAGTGGAGAGAACTGTCCTAAAACTTGGCATCAATAACCCAAAGCCTTAGGCTGGCACTTACTGTTCCTTCAGCCACTGCTCCACAAACGGGATGGAGAAGAATTCTGTGAAGGGCGCCCCTGTCCTCTTTGGATTTTGACTGATCACGATGTCATGTGTTTGATCGGCAAAAAAACAATAAGCAAGAATTCAAGTCAATTGCTGCTACACTGCTTGCAAACTAACACTACAAAATCCTTGGAGGTCACTGAATGTTCAAAGACATGACGGACTTACTTGTATAGCCACTCAGTCAGAAAATCACAGGCAATGAATTTGGTTCTTTTCCTCTAAGGAGAGAAGAGAGAATTCAATTACATTCCTGACCCACAGGTTTGGGTAGGGCGAAGGAAGAGGGCTCAGTTAGTTGATTGCTTGTGTTGGATGGAATATGCGTGAGCCCTCCATGAGGTTTATATGGATATGGACAAACAGGAAGTCAGGCGATGCAGAGAATCCTGAAAAACACTTCTCCAACTGCCTTTGGAGAAGCACGTTTTCTGACAGCAAGGCCTAATAAAAGACGGTGTCCATGGGAGGGGCTTTTTATGTGCTTTGGGAATTTTCTCAGGAGGATTTCATTTAGGTCTAGACCTTGATTCTTGAGTAGACCTTGAGTAATTGTATTTATTGCTTTGCCCACCCTCACCCCCCCCTCCCCAATCCCCAGAACAGCCCCGCCTCCCACGGAGAAAGGGACAGCCATGTGACACAGTTCCACTGTATGGGGGAAGTGACCAGGGCCTGTGGATTTCTGAGAAAGTTCTCCTTTCTTGGTTCCTACGGCCCTTCTTCCTTGGTTTCCTTCTGCCTCTTTCGGCCTGGAGCACAGACGTGGGCTGGACGTGGAGCAGCCTTCCAGCCACGAGGCCAAAGGCCACATGCTACGGATGGTGGGTTAGGAGGAACGTGGGTCTTTACTGGCTTCCTCAAGCCTTGGCGCCTGCTTGGGCCTGACCTACTCTGGACATCTTGACACTGACAAAAAATCCACTTCGTTTGGATTATCACCCCCGTTCCTCCTGAGTGCTCATAATACGCCGTGGAGTGCAGTCCCTAGGTGATAGGCAGCTAGTAAGCCGCAAGGGGAACATCGGCCTGCAGTCATGGGCACAGGGCATGCTGGGAAGGACGGGGGGCGGAGCACCAGGGATGCTGCCTCCTAGGCCCATTCAGAACCCAAACAGAGTCAGTTAACTCCTTTTAGAGAATTGTTATTTCAACTGGGAGTCAGAGGGTCCCCAGCTCTCCTGCCAAGATGGCAGGGGCTGAGAACAAAGTGGGTCTAGAGGCGTTGGTTGCTATGTGTCGAGATCCTTCCCAAGCAGGAAGGCAGTACAGAGTCGGCTGGAAAATCTCTCTTTTCCCCTCCAGGTCTACCCTTCTCCACCCTGCTCCGTGCCTCCTGAGGCTGACTTTATAGTTCACGTCAACCAGACTCCTTTCATCTCTATTTGGGTCCAGCCAACGAGAGGTACCAGCAGGAGATCCGAGAGAGGGGAGACAGACAGGCAGGGTGTTATGAGTTGAAGTGGGCCTCCCCTCCCCCAGATTCACATATTGAAGTCTTACCCTCCAGTACTTCAGAAAGTGACCGTGTTTGGAAACAGGATCACTAGAGAGAGAATCTGCACTAGACCCTGGATCCAGCTACGCCTGAAGCCAGCGTCCCCTAGACCTTTCAGGGACACGAGCCAATATATTCCCCCCTTTTTTTATTATGCCAGTTTGCACTGAGCTGTTTACTGCTTGCAACAGAAAGAATTTTAACACCTGCTCCATTCTTCAACTGACAAACTCCCATGTGTCCTTCAAGGTGAAAATCTTTCTGAGCAGTCCCACCCTCTTCAGTTTAGGGTCGCCCCACCCCACCCCACCCCAGCTCTGCGTGTCCCTGTCATAGTGCCTCAGATGTAACTAACATGACTGCCAGCGCACACGTCCATCTTCCCTTCCAGACTATAAACTCTGAGGACAGGATCTTGTTTTTCTTTATATTCCCAATGCTTCACTGAGTGCCTTGCACAGAATAACTGATCAATGAGTGGAGAGTCAATGAGTAAGTAAATGAATTCACCATTCAACTCTCAAGTGTCAAAGCAAGAAGAACCCATGAGCGAGAATCCTGGCCTTTACAAGTAGGAATTACCAATTTCATTCTGTACAGCTTCTCTTCTTCCTGCGGTATTTTATTATGAAATTTTTTCTTTCTTTTTTTTTTTTTTACTTTCCCCCCCTTCACTTTGAAACAGCCAATTCAGCTTTACAATCTTAGATAAGGTTGAAAAGATTGTTGCAGAATTGATTCTAACCAAAAAGGAAAGTGCTATGTAAGATTTTTTTTTTTAACTGAAAGCTTTATTATAGCTGTTAGTAAATAAAATCTAGTGGTGCTTGAGTTGCTGAGGATTGTTTGCAGTCTCTTACCTCATTGCTGATAGCCTTTTATTAAAAATTGAAAGACTGCAGGCCAGGGTAATAAAATTAAACCTACTAGACCACGTTAACGGGGACGTCTATGTCTGCATTGCAAGACTGAGTCCCTTCAAAAAGCCATCTTTAGTCAAAATTTTTTTAAAAAAAGCACTTGCACAACAATGCAAATATGTATCTAGTGTGAATCGCCGCATAATAATTTAGACAATCCAGCAATTGTAGGATGGCAGTGTCTCTCTCTTGCCCTACAAAGGATGCATTGTTAACTCGGCATTTCCCGCACAATTTAGCGGTAAAGATTCCTTCTACGAAGAGAGCGCAGATCAACTTACTCTATTAGAGTTTTCAAATAGCCCAACGGTCTGATGTACGAAGGTCATGCGACAGACTTAATCACTTTGGATGCAAAGAAATAAAATGGAAGAAACTGTGTTTTCCTTCTGTTCTGGGCAAACGTGGACGTGCTGTGAATACTCAGACACACGGAACAGTGGGGATATTGTTCCGCTGTTGTTTGGTTTAAAAATTATCTACTGGGAGCTGAAAGAGAGCAGGGAAAGCAAATGAAAACTTGTGGTGAGTGAAGAGATAAGAGAGGAAGTAACAGAGAAAAATCACAGTGGGAGATTAAGAGAGTGTGGGCACCCAGGGTTTACGTAATGCGGACAAACCCACCGAGTGCGTGACTTTGGAAGGGTGACAATGTGCAAGTTTGGGTGAGCAGGGGAAACAGTTTAAGACAACCTCAAATGAGGTTAAAAAGTAACTAAAAAAAAAAATATCCAGAATGAAGAGGAAAAAGACAAAATATCAAGGGAGGAGACTTCACCACGTCATCCTGAGTCTGCAACTTACTCTGAAATGCCTCCAAGAAAACGTGATACCTGGACAGAGGGATGGTGGACAGACTGGTGGACAGACATGCGAAAAAGCAAACAAAGCACAATGGTAACTGCAGAATCCAAGCGGCAAATATCGAGCCTGTGGGTGTTCACTCCGAAATTCTTTCAGTTCTTTATATGTTGGGGAAAAAACGTGATAAAATTGGGGGAGGAGAACATCATCATAAAAGCCCCAAACCTCAAAGAGAGCAAGGGCAGAAATCGGGATTTAATTCAGACGGTGTTTTGCACTGGTTTTTACATTGGATACACACACAATAGGAGACTTTCTGGAAAGAGAAACAGACAGTGTTAGAAAGTCACTGACGCTTGTCAGGTGACTAAGGTAATCCCGCCCCAGAAAGGTGAAAAGCATGCGCTGGGACCTTAGTGGAGTGTGGCTGGCTGTGGGACCATGTTGGTTAAGACTCTGGGTTTGCAAGGGGTTAGAAATGTGCTTGGGTGACCTTGGTAACTGGGGTTTTCTAAAAAGTCAGTTTAGGCTCGACGTTGCTGTTAACAAACCATCCCCAAACCTGGGGAGCTCTGATCATCAACGGTTTAGCTGTGGCTCTCTGTTTCACGCATTCTTTACTCAGGCTGGCAGAGTACAGCTCTCTCTGAACTACGACTCGTTATCATCCAAACGGAAAGAATACGGTGAGCCATGCTCTGGCTCTGAAAGCGTGTTTGGAAATCATGTGTGCCATGTCCATTCATTCCACTGACCAAAGCGATCACACGGTCAGGGGGAGGCCTAGAGAGAGAGGCCACACGTAATTTAGGACAATAACATATTCAAGCACAGGGGTTCCTGTAAGGAAAACAAGAATTCCTCTGACTGGGGGCAGAGCCTGGGCTCAGGAGGAAGTGGAGCCGTGTCCACAGCTGCTCCGGGCACAGGACTAGTCGTGTACCAGCAGCTCGGTGACCCCAACAGCTCTGGTCTGAGATCCATGAGGAACTCAGCTCTTGGGCCCACAGCTTCCTTCTCAACTCGCTGCTGTGTTTTCTGCTTCTTTCTCCTGCTCGCTCTGCTTCAAGGTCGGCTCACTCCTGGCTTGTCAAGCTTTTTCTTCATCAGCGGTGTCTCTCCCCTTCCAGCCAGGCTGCAGTCTGCCTGTCTGCTCTGCTGTCTGACACCCCAACTCTCCACACGGGAGACTCTGACTGGGCTGCCCCAGGACGACCATCCCTGATGGGCAGAGCGAGTATAACAGGACATTTCAGAGCCACTTGCCACCCCGGAGAGGCTGTCCACAGGGTCTGACACTTAAACCTGTTCAGTCCCTAGTAGCCAGGGTGATGGGAACATGGACAAAGCAGGGGCAAAGGGCTGCAGTTAAGGCTGTGGGCATGGCACGCACTTAGAATGTCACAGCCTCCTTTCCCACATAGCTATTCTCCACAATAAACTTCTTGACACCCGAGACCGCCCCCAAGACATGACGAAGCTGATCAATAACTATGGACCCTAGAAATGAGCATAGCCTTGGACTACAGACCCAGGTGCCAAAATGCTTATCACAGCAAACTTCAAACAGGGCTTCCTTTTTCCCCACTGCATTAGAATTTCATTACAGGAAAATAATACTTCTGCAAAGAAGTTAAAAATATGCACTCATAACACAAAACATTGACGGAGGCTTCCAGCACAGGCTGCGTGGTCATTTCTAAAAGGGCTCTGGATTAACAGGAGTGATGCTAAAATAATTCCACCACACCTTGCCCGCAAGAATCTATTTTTCCCACCCCTGAGACACTTTTCTCAAACAAAAGCTGATGGTGTTTCTATTTCTCTTTTTGGTCAAGGCCACAGAATGGAGTTTTTCCTCTTACTGACCAGAGCCCTCGCACCTTTTAAAAGATATTCAGGCATGTGATTTTAAAAACTATAATAAGCGACATTTATTAGATGGGCAAGAAACGTACAAAGAAAAAAAAAAAGGTTTTGTTTTACCGAATTATTCACT